TTGCTTCACATTACACCTTCCTAATTCAACAACTTGGCGAATTAGAGAACTCATCTGAAGGTATTTAGCTGTAACCTGTAGTCACACAACCCACTTGGGTCACTTGGCTTTAGGCACAAACAAGATGTTTTCCCAGAGCTGTAAACTGGTGCTCAGAGCCAGGCTGAGAAGTGAAGTGCTGTAACAACAGGGAGAGAAGCCACCCAGGCTGATGCCCTTCTCCACATACTGAGGTTAAGAAAATCCAACACAAGCACATCAGGCTGAAGAACTCACAAGGCAAATCCTCTGAGCAGATGTGAAGCATTTTTGTAGGAATATTTGCAGAATTAATTTTAATTTCCCTGCTGTCTGCCCCCTCCACCTCCCAGAGAATCCAGGGCACTCAGAACACGATGAGGATGTTCCTCACCACATTCAAGCTCGATGGTAAAGCCTCAGCTCATGTTCCTTCCTGCAGCACGTTGCTGCTATTTCATATTGCTATACATATTAAAGATCTTTCCTTGCAGCACACACAGCCCATTAGAACAATTTGTTTATAAACAGGACTAAACAGAGCCAATCTCTCCCAGCCTTATGTTACACAGAATTAAATGCTCTCTAATTTAACTGCACGATGCAAGTGACGCATGGTGCCACCTACGTGCCCTTGGACAGGAGCCAGATGGTTTCCCTCCCACATCACACCACATCTCTGCTAGAAATAAACATTCAAGGGTAAAACCAGGGGAAAATCCTCATATCCCCAGAAGGGACCCTGGGCCAGTAGCAATGAAGCACAGGATGAACACCCCCATACAGAACTGTCTGCATTGAAAGGATTTGAGTTTCTTAGCAGCTGGCCAGAAGTTCACCTATTTTGTTCCTTTTACTGGTCAACTTTCCCTTGTGTACCAGCAAAACAGCTCAGCTCTTGCAGACATACCTTACCATAATAGGCAATGTGAGCCCTGAAAGTGGAGGACTCGGAGCCTTTCTTGGCTTCCAAACACGGTCCATGGGCTTGGCTGCACAATAACAACTGGGGACCCCCAGGGCTCCCAGTACACCCAGTCCAGCTACAACAGGACATTGATAAAACACTTAACAAAAACCAGTCCTGATCTTCTAGGTATTAATCACATCCATCTTTCACAAAAAGGCAAACAGCATGGTGACAAAAACTGAACTAAGCCTCTGTGGAAGGATAAAGTGTCACTAAAAGCAAAAATACAGGTGAAAAATAGGACACACCAAAATCAGGACTCCCAGGTCATAGCTCTGAATCAGCAATAACATTGAGTTTACATAAGGAATTTTCCTTCATCGTCCTCCTGTAGAACTTGTGGAATTAAGCTTAGAAATTCAGCCCTTCTAAGACAGAGATTTAATTAACACTGGTATCCAGCTGCATCTGGTGATTTCATGGTAACAATACAGGTAAGCAGAACACTTATTTACAAACCAGAGTGAACCTAGTTCATTCCAAAAATCAAAGTGCAGCAAGACAGGAATGGAGCCTATTTAATCCACTTACTGCAACTGTAATTCACAATCAAACATTTCAGTGCTATTCCTCCATAAAACTTAATTCCTTTAGTGTGTCTGGGGTTTATACTGGGCTATACAGACTATCCTGAAGGCAATTCATGACAACAGACATTCTGATACTTTTACTGCCCAGAAATTGTTATTTTATGAACACAACACTCAGTGTACTCCTCTGAATTTAAAGTTTTCTTTTGACAAATTCCCCTGTGGGTGAGGTACATCTGTAATGCTCTGGCAGAGAACTGCAAGGAGAAACAATCCTTTAAACGATTATAAACATTTTCTACTTGTTCTCTATGTTCTGTCATTTACAATGTACTTTTCTTCCAAATTTGTTCCTCATTGTTCCTGCTGTGCAATGATGACAGAAGCTGCCCAGAGCAGCTGTGGCTGCCCCATCCCTGGAAGTGTCCAAGGCCAGGTTGGACAGGGCTTGGAGCAGCCTGGGCTGGTGGAAGGTGTCCCTGCCCATGGCATCCCTCTCATGGCATGTCCATGGGACTGGATGAGCTTTAAGGTCCCTTCCAACCCAAACTAGGCTGTAATTGATTCTATTATTTTAAGTCAGGGCCAAGTCAAAACCAGCAGTCAGGGATAAGGAAAACCTGCTCTGAAAGGGAACACTGGAACATTCTCTTTAGTCTTCATCATCATCCTCCAGCTGCTGCATCCCAGACTCGGCCATTGATCCCTATCCACACTGACTCTGTTGTGCTTGTCCTCACTGGCCTCACCAGCACTGGAATTCCCATTGGTATTTTGCAGTCAGTGGCTTGAGGGAACAGGGAAAGTTTCCCAGCTCCAGCTTCCCCCTGGCTCACTCTGAATCCAACACGAGCTTTCAGACTCCCCAATTTTTATTTTCTGACAAACAGAGACAAGACCGTGGCCACGCTTTTCCCCCACCTCTGTTTTGAGCTCAGGTCTCCCCAGACCACACAAAATCCTTCCTTTGAAGCTCCTTCCCACTGGAATCACAGAAAAACCTCTCCTAAAGCTGCTTCCCCAGAGGCTTTTTCCTGCTGAAGTCCTTGTACCCTTGAACATTTATTCCACAATAAAACTTTGTCTGCTCTTCCAACTTTCCAGAGTGCGCACAGGCAGTCTGCATCCCAAGGAGGGAGGTTGGGTGGGAGCAGAACACATGGAGAATCCTGACACATCCCACTATGAGACCTCTTATTGCCTAAACCTCAGCCAAAGTGTCTGGGCTGGTTTCCCACTCTGGTGCTTGTGAGCTCAGCCAAAATAATTCATCCACTTTCTGAAAATTAGAACAACATGTATTTGCTCCCTTTTTTTTTTTTCCCCCCCAAAACTGCCTTCACCTTTCCTGTGCTAGTCTCACTGCAGAGTTGGAGGAGGGATTTCAAGTAAGGCCCTTTTTTTGGTTTCCATGAAAAACATCCTGATATCAGCCAAGATATAAAAACTCTGGAGCAAAAATATAACTGTTCCCATAAAATCAGTTTCTTTGGGGTTCTGCTACTAAAATGGGACACTCCAGACTGTTCAAGTTCACAACCTGGTGACATTTGGCACCTGCCATTCTAGAACTATAGATAGTGAAGAATTAATGATTATTAACTGTACTTTCTTATTGGCACTAGAATTGAAACCAGAGAGCTGTTCCATGATTCCTGCCAAAGTGATGGCAAAAATCAGAAATCTTTGATTTGGATCTCAAATAAACCAGAGAAGACTGACCAAGTGACATGATGGTGGTGGCATGCATTCAAGAAAATAAACTGGGAATTGGATAAACACAAGAGGACTGGGAAAATGGGAAAACCAGCTCCAGCAGAATGGGAGGAGAGTCTAACCCAGGTCTGAGGTACACTGGGTGTGTAAGAAACCAAGGTGCTGGTGCCCTGAAGCACCTGCATAAATGGGCTGATGGAGCTGAAGGGAAGTTGCTCTGCTCTTAGATGGATCTCACAAGAAAATCACGTGAAGTGTTAGTAAAAAGGAATCCTTGCTGTTAATTTGGGGAAAACCAGCATTATTAATTGTAAGAGACTGGGTGACCTTGAATTTTTGGGCAGCTAGGTTCTCCCAAAGTGCAGCTTATCCATTTACATGAGCAGTGAGGACTGTGCTCAATAAAATTTTCAGCAATTTTAGGACTAGACTCCAGGAAGCCTCCAAACCTGCAGCCTCAGCTACTCTTTTGTCTTAATTTAGGTAATCTGGGACAACTTCCCAGAAGAACAAGACATTCCCAGCAAGTCCCAAACATGCCTGCTGGAAACAAGGTGTCCCTATTATGATTATTACTTTTTACACATTACAAAACTCCCCTCCTTCAGTCTAACTGTGAGGCAGCAGAAATGTCAAAACAATTTTAATGATGATAAATGGCTGAATCCTTCCTGCAGGGTTCAGTGAAGATTTCAGGAAGCTCTGCACTGTGATGAGCAGAAACTCCTGTGGGAAGGGCTGGCCTCCTTGAAGCAGGTGATGCTTTTGTGAGCAGGAATATCTCACGTTGCAAGTGGAGTAATGTGCAAAGTAAGCACTGGGAAAGGACTGGCTGGCATGGAAAGATAAGCACATGCTAAAAACCATCCCAGCACCACATGAGTCTCTGGTCCCAGCAAGGCTTGCTGTAACTTTGCTGCATTCTGACTGAATATTGCAAGAAAGAAAACAAAAACAGAGTCTGAAGAGTGTTATTGCCAATTTTCAGCAAAGAACCAGTTAATTCCAACTAAATGATGCTTCAATCACTCTACTGCATTGCAAAGCATAGGGAAAGGCTACCCCAAGTTCAAGGTTTTCCAGCAAAAATGAAACACCCCACAAGCAGGCTGACCCCTATGCAACCTTACATTTGTTATTTCTCCCAGGTCTTCCACACTGCATTTTAATAGCTTGGAAATGTATTTAGCTTTGACATTGTCAGAGTCAGTCATGTTGTCAGGCCCAAATGTGTTTCAGACAAAGACAAACAAAACCAAAGGAAACCAAGGGAATTTGGAAAGACTCTGTAATTATTATAAAAGGAAAGAAAGGGTCTCAGAGGATGAGACTATTGCAAGAACAGGGGGACACTGACCAACCTCTGACCACTTCCCACAAGAAAACAAATCCATAAGGAGACAGGAGAGCAGATTTCAGAAATACAAAACATCCTGTCCAAAATAACAGCAATTCCAAGATCCAAGGTCACACCTTCCCTGGGACACCTGAGATCCCACTGCCCTGGCACTGCAGCCCCACTGCTGCATTCCCTCCAGGCTCCACAACTCCTGCAGCTCTCCAGGAGCCAACACTGAACTCAGGCCACTCTGCAAATATACCTTATCTTCCAGAAGAGAAATCAGTTAGGAATTTGCTGCTTGGAACTACCTCCCTGTACTCCTGAGCAGAGCCTGAACCTCTCCTATAGACAAGAGCAAAAGCCACAGAACACTCTGTCAGCAGCACCCAAGAATGACATATCAATGATTCATATTCTCACTTACCCGAGTTTCCTTCACTTCTTCATTTCCATCAACTTCATCATCATCCTAGGAGGAAAGGCAAAAATGGAATCAGGCAGCTCTGGAGACAACAAAACTTTATCCCAAGAAGGCAATGTATTGTTTATAGAATCACAGAGTCATTTAGGTTGGAAAAGACCTCCAAGACCTCCAAGTCCAACTTTGATGAAACACAGCACGTCAACTCCAGCACAGCACAAAGTGCCACGTGTGTTCTGAACCCTGTGAGGAATGGTGACTCCACCACTGCTCTGGGCAGCCTGTGCCAGTCCCTAACCACCCTTTCAGAGAAAAAATTACTTGATGCTAACATTAAGGAAACTTCTGTCAAAAGAAATGTCTGTCCAGATGCTTTTGGGTAATCTTCAGATGAGGCTTGGTGTCCTAATGGCCATTTAGCAGATGTTGGTATTGGGGACAGAATGACATCAAGAGATGGCTCCTGCCATTCCAATGCTTCTGAGGAGTCCCTAATACACTGAGGGGAAAAAAACTTGGAAAAACTGCACCTCTGAAATACTGATAGAATACTGACTTCCAAAATATCTCCAGTTCAGTTAGACTCCAGGTGGGAAGACTGGTCATCCCAGGTATCCTGCATAGCTTCTCCAAGCCTTTGCAACTGCTCCAGGGTTTCATGGAACAAACATGAACTACCACAGCATCCCAGCTGACTCTGGATTCAACTATTAACTGTAATTTCATAATTCTTATTATCTCCTGAAAAAGGTGATCTATTTTCCGAGCTGAGGCTCTAACCAAAGTTTGGCAGGTTCAATTTCTTCCCTCAGACTGGAGAAATCCTCTGAAACCAGGACTAAGCAAAATGACCACGACATAGACAGCTCTTCTGCACTTATGCTGTGAGTGTTCCCTGGTGCTGGGAGGGGACCCTGACACAGGTTTTCTTCCTATTGTCTTTCTGTCAAGGGGACTAAAGAGCAGACAAATTTTGGCTTGAAGAAATTTGAAAATACTTCAGGCCGTTTGTGACCTCTTTCCAAAGGAATCAGACTTTGAATCTCTCCTCTGCCATGTGGGCCCTGTCCCAGTCCTGCAGGATTTCCATAAAATAGCTCAGTTACAGGCTGCCCAGAGCCTCCTGCTCGGTCTGACACAGCCCAAACAGGGATGTGAGACCTCTGGAAATGCCAGTCTAAAAGAGAGCTGGAGAGGGAAGAAGAAAATGGAAAAATAGACTGGGAAGAAAACCATGAAGCTTGGAATTGGAAGAAAATTCACCCTGGAGTTTCTAAGGAACTCAAACTCACATCCTGTGTTGAGAAGATGATGCCGGTGCCTCTCCGTCTCTCTTTTGGTCGTCGCCGCTCTCGGATCGACTGCTTGTTCAGGGATCTGTCGTCTGAATCCTGATCTTCACACTCTGGCCAAGCAAAGAAAGACTGCTTTGGTTTCAGTGATTTACATCTGTGCTTTTGCTAAGGTTCTGGGGTTCTTTTCAAGCTCATCAAGGTCATCTTGCCTTGTGTTATATTACATAGGAGTAATTAAACCAAATGAAATGGAATCCCAGTGTCCTACTACAGCTGGATACTCACACTCCTTCCCTCATCAGAGCCAGGGACCTGCCAGCTCTCCCCAAGTCATCCTGACTTACTCCTGCTCTGAGGGTAAGCTGTACTAGGGGAATCTCTTTCTCCAGCTCTAATAGCTAAATACTCCATGATCACTGTCTCATTTATTTATCCACAATGGAAAATATCCTTTTATCCCTGTGTTACAAGCAATAGGAATTTGTTTAACTTCATTTAAACAAATAACATTTGTTTTGTGACATGGCAGCTTCCCTCAGAGTAACAAGTAAACCTGTTCTCTCCATCTGTACACAGTGGAAGTTCTAAAGCACAAGAAAACCCTTGAGCTTTGTCTGTTCTTCACTCTCCTGGTACCTACCATTTTTCTCCATCTCTGTGGCTGCTGCTCTGAAATCTGCTGGATTCACTGAGTCCAGCCCTAGATATTTATTTGTTCGAGTCAGGTATGAACTTGTATAGAGCAGAGGTGCTGCTGTGGAAGGAGACACAGGTGTTGTGGGTTTGTCAGGCTGGGCTGGGCCCCTCAGTCGCCGATAGACGGTCTGAAAACAAAGAGCCATGACAGAAAAATAGTACAATGAAAAGGAAGGAGAAGACTTTGGATTTCAGGGGGTGCAACTTGAGAGTGCAATGTTTTCTTCACCTGTGCTTGACAGATCAGGCCCTTTCTATCACATAAGGATGGGTGTTAAAGTCAGTGTAAGAGCACCCTCCACAGCTGGGAGACCTGGGATCAATCCCTTTGTCCCTACAGCTCATGGCAGGAGACACAAGTTATCTAATATAAATGTATGACTTAGAGTGAAGAAAAGCAGAGGTGATGGTAGGGGCAGAAAACTGGTCTCTCCAGCTTTCCATTACACATGGAACATCTGTGGAAAAATGTGAACGCAAAGCCTCTGCCTAGACTGCATAGCAAGGATGGATCCAGGCCACATTTCTATCATTAGCCTTCTCATTACACTTTCTGGGATTTACACCGTTTTATTTTCTGGCAAGAGCCAGAAAGGTGAAATTCCCAGAGGAGAGCAAAGGCACAGCTAAGCTCCAGCACCTCCACGTGCACCTCCCTCGTGCTGAAGTGGCGCTCCCCAGCCAGCGGTGCCTCTTTTCAGCTAGCCTCTCCCCCTCACAAGACAAAGGTGACCCCCAAAGAATTTCTCCTGGTGTCAGCTCTTCTGAATGGCTTTGTGAGCTCTCAGGGAAGGGGTGCTGAGGCAGGAGGATCACCTCGTCCTCTGTGCTCCTGCCCCAGCGGCCGCGGCTCTCGGGCCTGTCGCCGCTGTCCTGGGCTGTGTCGCTGTGCTGCTCCTGCGCCTGGCGCTCGGCGCGCGAGCGGCTGAACGTGCGCTCGGCCTCCTGCAGCTCCGTCAGCGTCACGCCCTGCAGGGAAACACAACCTTCCAGCCATGCACACAACCACCAAACCCCACCCTGCTCTGCCTTGGAAGGGACAGCACATCTCATCCCACCCCAGCACGGGAAGGGACACCTTCCTCTAGCCCAGGCTGCTCCAGCCCCCATTCAACCTGACCTTGGACATTTCCAGGGATGGGACAACCACAGCTTCTCTGGGCACCTCATGACAGGGCCTCGCCACCCTCACAGCCAAGAACTCCCTCCCAGTATCCCATCTAATGCTGCCCTCTGGCAGTGGCAAGCCATTGCTCCTTGTCCTGTCCCTCCAGGTCTCTGGTCAAAGTCCCTCTCCAGCTCTCTTGGAACCCCTTTCGGCACTGGAAGGGGCTCTAAAGTCTCCTTGGAAATTTCTCCAGCCTGAAATTACATTTTCATTCTTCCAGATCAGTTTAAAATGCCACAGACTCACATCTGGTCAGGCTCATGTTTCATCCCTATGGTAAGAGAAAGGGAAGAATTCTGTTGCCTTTCTCAGCCTATTGGCATAATCACTGACTCAAAGCAACCCAAATATATGTGACCACACTACAAACTAAGAGGAAGGCACATTGCAGAAAGCAAAGCTTGGAAATCTAACTCATGTATGCTTGTGGGAGGGTTTTGTAATAACTGCTTGAAGAAAATTTCACCAGAACCTCTCCAAAACAGTGTGAGTGCAGACAAGTCCCCTGTCCTAAGAAATAGAGCAGAGAAAATCCTGCCTCTTTACAGAATCATGGAATGGTTTGAATTGGAAGGGACCTTAAAGCTCATCTCATTTCACCCCCTGCCATGGGCAGGGACACCCTCTGCTGTCCCAGGCTGCTCTAAGGTCTGTCCAGCCTGGTCTTGGACACTTCCAGGGATGGGGCAGCCACAGCTGCTCTGGACAATTGACAGATCAGCTCTCTCCATCCTACATGTGAATGTGAACATTTCCATCCCTCACCTGGGTAGACCTGCGGGTCTGCCGGGCCTGTCTGGATCGTGCCTTCCTCAGGGATTCTGCTTCCTCATCCCGCACTGGAGTCAGATATGACCTGGGAAAAAAAGGCACAGAAGAGGTTAAAGTAAAAGCAGATGATCTGCCTTCCTTGTCTCTGTAGACTCCCGAGCTATTATTCTATTTCTCATGGACAAAAATGAATTTTAGCTCCATCTGCTACTGCTGTTTCTTTGGAACAACTTCCCCATGAGTACACAATACACACATGTTCACAGCACCACCTCCCCAGAGCCTCTCAATAAACCCTTTAGTATTTGGCATGTTCTGTTAAAAAGGTGCACCTATTCTCTACATTATTTGCTCCATTCCAAATAATTGCATCATTAGAAAAAGAACCTCACTCCTCATAACTGCCCTCTCACTCAGACAAAGATCTCAGAACAGAAATCCTGTGCTGGTGCATTCCTCAGACCCTCCTTCCTGTCATCACAGTCACGATCATATTCCTGCAATCTGCTGCCTTCATCAACATGAAACCCATCTGAACTGCAGGCATCACAGAAACACACACCTTGGAAAGAGCCATGGAATTAAAGAAATGACCTTCACATTCTGTGCAAACCAATCTCCTTGACACTGAGAAACCCACAGTTAAACACAGACCTGGGCACAACTAGATTTCATCAAAGCTGGGAGGATTCAAAAGAATTATTCACATGAAAATACATAAAGTGCACCCTCTGCCCTGGCAGTCACTGGGAGGAACTGGTGAGGAATTGGGCAGTGCTCTGAGTCAAGGAGTGCACAGCAGTAAATGATTTCCATGCTGGAGGAGAGGCTTCAGTCTTATGAAAAGTTAATTAAACTTGACTCTTAAGCCTGGTTAATATGGAATGATTATTCACACTTTCCCACTGTACAGGAATGAGGGTGCTGGAATGTTCTTTGCAGATCTATCACTGCCAGGTTAACACTGTACCAGAGGTCTGGATGCTCAAAGGGCAGTGAGTTCAGTGAGGGATGAAGGTGAATACTCTTTGTCCTCCAACTCTTTTCCTGGTTTTAGTCAATCACCTTCATGGGAAAGGCTGAAGAGGATTTGCATCAGATCCAGTATGTTAAGACATTCATTAGAAAGTTCACAAAACTGCTGCACCATGACAAAACCAGAGAGAATCCTGAAATCTGGATCTTTCTAAAATAATCTGTCATGGTGGGTTTTATCCACCCTCAGGAGCTGTGTTTAGTGCTGGTTCAGCTGTGCAGCAGCTGCAGCCTGGCCTCCATGGAGTTTCTTGGCTTGCAGGAGGTACAGACAGTCACCTCCCAGCTCCTCAGGTGTAGTGGGGCTCATGTGAGACTCTTCTCACCTGAAACTGATGCAAGGATTAGACCTGATTTACAATGCCCTGAACAGCCCTGATTGCCAGAGGCCAAGGGAAGCGCAGAGGGTTGAGGCTGTGTCAGAGATGCTGGACTGGAGACTCCTGGAGGGGCAGCTCTGATCTCTGCTCTCTGAGCAGGGACAGCACCCAGGGAAGGGCTGGAGCTGTGCCAGGGCAGGCTCAGGTTGGAGATCAGGGAAAGGTTCTTCCCCCTGAGGGTGCTGGCACTGCCCAGGCTCCCCAGGGAATGGGCACAGCCCCGAGGCTGCCAGAGCTCCAGGAGTGTTTGGACACAGCTCTCAGGGATGAACAGGGTGGGATTGTTGGGGTGTCTGTGCAGGGCCAGGGGTTGGACTCAATGATCCCTGAGATCTTTTGCACTCACGACATTCCATGATTCTTTGAACTGTGCCCTGGGAGCTGCCTGCAATGGAGATGTCCCCAGCTGAGGGCCTGCAGAGCTGCACTCCCAGGGTGATTTATCACCCTCATGAGAAGCTCCAGCACAGCCCATGTGGGTGCACTACAGAGGAGCTCATTTCTTCCCACTGATTGTCCAGACACACACATGAGCTGTGATGGATATGCCAACACGGGAAGTGCCTACACTTCAGAGGGATGATTATCTCCCGAGAATCTGCTGTTTCATGAACAAAAAAAAGCTGCTGTTTGGTAAGTGAAAGCTGTGCAACTCCTAGTTTTGCAGAGCTGGAGTTCTCTCCCTGCTGCAGTGTGTGCACTGTCCAGGTAATAGCACATTAAGGCAACAATAAGCATTTTCTGCAGCTTTTGACACGAGCAGAATCACTGCTGTTTGCCCAGCAGCCAGAAGCAATAAGCCACCTACAGGAAGAAGGCATTTGCAAAATATACTGCAAATGAAGTTCAGAGCAGTAGAAAAAAAAATAAATATAAATTCCTGAAATATATAAACCAAATAAATTTGTAGCTCAGTACAGTAGGCAGTTTACTGCAATGGCTTTGAATCAGTGGAATTTAAATCAGTGGAATTTACTCTGCAATGAGGACGCAGGTACGTAGGAGATACAGGTACAGAGAAGACAAAACAGGTTTTCAGATGAGTTTCAGGAAAGGTTTGGCAAATCCATGGGGAGCAGGTCAGCTCCAGGAGTGGGGAGGGGCTCTGCAGCAGGGGCAGCCCAGGAGGCTGCAGGATTTCCCTTGGTGCAGTGCAGCCACAGCTTTGCTGTGGGAATGACAAGAGAAAAATCATTTTGAGTCTCTTAGCCCATCATCCTCCTAGGCTTTTTCTCCTCTGCTCTCCCAGAATATATATAAAAACACAGGTATGTTACAGCATCATTAGCAATTCTGGGAGTGCAGCCTGTAAAGGGGGACTTGATCTTCAGCTGGGCACATCCTGCAGGTCAGCACGGCTCAGCCTGGGCCGCAGCCGCAGTCCATCGCCAACTTCTGGCTTCTTTCCATTTGCACAATTCATCACTTCCTGGAGCTCACCCAAAGCCATTTACAGCATGAGATAACGGGATTTTCTGAGGCAAGTCAGCAGAGCCCCTGCACAGTGACAGAGCTGCTTTCTGCAAGGGAGCAGCCACAGCCTGTCCCTGCTGCCAGCAGAGCGGCTGTGCTGTCAGTGCCTGCACCTGCACCCAGCAGTGTGAGCCCAGGTGTGCCCTGCCGAGCCCAGGTGTGCCCTGCTGGCAGTGCCAGCCCAGGTGTGCCCTGCCGAGCCCAGGTGTGCCCTGCTGGCAGTGTGAGCCCAGGTGTGCCCTGCCGAGCCCAGGTGTGCCCTGCTGGCAGTGTGAGCCCAGGTGTGCCCTGCCGAGCCCAGGTGTGCCCTGCCAGGTGTGCCCTGCCGAGCCCAGGTGTGCCCTGCTGAGCCCAGGTGTGCCCTGCTGAGCCCAGGTGTGCCCTGCTGGCAGTGCCAGCCCAGGTGTGCCCTGCTGAGCCCAGGTGTGCCCTCCTGGCACTGTGAGCCCAGGTGTGCCCTGCTTGGGACCCGGTGTGCTTTGCTTTTTAATTTGGGGGGAAGGGAGGGAAAAGACAGATTTTACAATGTGTTGCTTTGCTTAGAAACTGAAATTTGAGAGACCAGAGTGCACTAAATGGGCTGGAAGAGAGAGAGAGAGAGAACAAATGCCCAGGAAGAAGATGGTGAACTGGATGCAGCTCAGGGCTGGGCAGAGCAACACGCTGCTCTCTAAAGCAGAAACACTGCAGAGCACAGCAGGCTGCAGGGCACAAGCACCAAATGGGGTGTGAGGCAGCCTCTACAGAGTTTTTAATTATGTTTTAAAGGAACATGCTGCTTGCTCAAGTGCAGTGCCTGTGCCATCCTATAGTTCAAGGAAATATCTCAGGGTCTAGAGCAGATCTTCAAAGGAAAGGTCCTATGTGCTGTGTTTCCTTGCAGTAAGCTTTCTCTGAGAAATACTTGCAATAAGAGCAGCTATAACACCAAGCTCAAGGCATATATAAAGCAGAACAGATTTTTACCAGAATTTTGGCTGTAAGTTCAAGGAGAAGAATACAAATTGTTCAAGATGTGTATGTGAGAGTCAGCAAAACCACAGCAGAGATTTACAGCTCCCACAGACAGAGACAAGTGTGTCCTGCTGCCCTGAGAGAGTTTCTGATTTGTGTATTAGCTAGGAAAAAAACCTCGTAACTGACTGATAAACCTGGCTCCCAATTAATTCTACCTGTTTTCAAGAAAACACCTATTTTCATCTGTCAACTCTTTCATCAACAATAGTGTAAAACTTAAATGGACCCCAACTCATCACCATGTCAAGCCAAAAGAAGCTGCAATACCAACAGAAGTGGAGATTCAACCCAGGAAATAGGAAGGCTGGATACACAGATTGGTAAACCAGGAATGCAGGAGCAAATCTGTATGTTAGAGAATGCTGGCAGAGGAAAATAAAATATTGCCATGAGAAACCCTTCCCAAGTCAAGGGATGCAGAAAAGAGTTACAGTGCCCTGTTGGTTGGTGCATGGGTAACAAGAGCAAAAGATGAATTTCTCCAAGAAACACACTGTCTTCTGATAATTCTTTTACAACACTGGTCTCTTTCCTGCCATCCTGAACTCCTTCAGGCACTCAGAGCTTGAAGTGTTTCTGGCAAACACCATTCACCATCATGGAGTCCTTTGGCAGAACATCACCAAGCCCCAGAGGGAACAGCAAGAACGTCCAAAACCTGGAGTTTTACATCACCTGTATATGGCAGAGCCACTGAGGCTGCCCCATCCCTGGATGTGTCCAAAGCCAGGCTGGACAGGACTTGGAGCCACCTGGTCTAGTGGAAGGTGTCCCTGCCATGGCAGGGGGTGGAATGAGATGAGCTCCAACCCAAACCTTTCTGGCATTCCATGAACACCTGGCAACAAATCTGGAAGCTAAACATCCACCAAGTTCTACAGCTGCTCTTTTCTCAGACTGGATTCAAGGAATTTTATTCTGCTGTCAGGACTGAAATTTGAGATCCACCCCTGCCTGAGCTGCTTTGGGCCATGACAGGTTCTCTCCATCCCTGTCAGGTCCTCTTCAATAAACCCAGGTCCTGCAGCCAGCACAATCAGAACATGAACTGCACACTGTAACTGGTTCATCACTGCAGTTGTCCCCAGTCTCTGGGATCAAGACTCTGCTGATCATGAACTGGAGCTGGGCTTGATGGGGCTCTTCTGGAGGAAAGCTCTTCCTAGGCCCTCTCCAAATC